GAACATCCTTTTTTAGCTGTAGATAATCGATAAGCATCTGTAAATACAGCATTTATAAAAATACATGAAGAAATGAGGTTACTCAGTACCTCAGAATCTTGTAGTAAAAAATATGCCGATCTTCTGCATTCTATAAGATTAGATTTAAAAGCATTTAACACTGAAAACAGAGCGGTTGCACACCGTAGCATCATTCGTCATTAAAATATATCTTAATCTACTTAGGTTTTGTTTCGATTGCTTAGGTGATTTTGTTAAAGTCCCGTGCTCGCACTGGTCGTAAGACGCAGAATAAAACGATAGTATTGGCCCTTTCAATTTGCCCTAAAATTACAGCCCCAGTATTATTCTATCAAAAAATACTCAACAATTTCAGTGTATCAAGAACACCAAGATCGCCCGAACAATTACTGCGAAAATCCCAATTCGAGATACCAGTGTAAATGAGCTCAATTTTAAAATTTTTCTTCGAAACTTGATTTTCTTTTACTGCAAAAATTGAATTTTTCCGCTTGTATTTTATTCATTTCATTACAGATCAATAACAAAATGAAAAATTGCCAAGGTTTTTTAATCCTCTAAACAGTTCATGCACTGTGGCAGACAGGCAATCACAAGTAACCAGATCCGCAGTACATCTTCACAGTGACTATCAACCGGCAGCACATCTTCACAGAGACTATCAGGTGACATATTTGTTCGACACTATGCAAAATTCAATAAATTTAACCTTCTGAATATTGACATTTCCGCCGTTGAGCAAATGAATCCCTAACTGAAGTGCTTCGGCAACCATTTCACTTGGCTCTCCATTACTTGCCGACAGATACATAAGGCACATTATGGCTGCACCTCGATCCGCTAGCACCGCTTGCTCGGCACGGAGCGCTTGAGAAATTTCCTCTTTTTGCTAAAAACAAAAAATTTACACGGGCATCGTGCAGACGGCATCTATTCCTTTATTATGAGTGGACAAATCGGAATGAAGGGGGAGGAGGAGGGGAGTTAAGGGGTTGCGGCGGGAGGGAAGGGGCATCTTAAAATTGGTCGGAATTTAGCTGAAGAAAAGACTCAGAATCAAAAAATACTAGAGAGAAACAGAAGTGAGTTAAAATGATTTTTCAGTTTATCCATTACCCAATCAGCATTCTAGAGAGCCAAAACGCTAAACCGCTGCTTTTACTCTCAAAATGAGTTTATGCTTTCAGATACCTACCTCATTCGGTCGAACAGTCGTATTTTTCAATTTCTGTTTGCCCCATATGACAAATTTTAGCGCTTCAAGAACTATTTTCCAGTTGTTTCTCATTACTTCCCTCTGATTTGAACATTTTTTCAGCAAAATTCTGACCGCTGCACTTATAAAAGTCAAGAACAAACCGCTTGGTCGAGTTCGCCTTCATCATCGCCGCCTTCATCTTCATCTTCAATATGTACCGATTTTGACATCACTTGTGCAAAATTTACAAAAAGCGAATCGTTGGCAATTGAGATCGTCTGACTTTGCTCACTGGTTGCCGCACGTTGGAAGCACTGAATAAGCTGTCGTAACGGATCCGGACGTAACTGTGTCCTAAAACCCTCGCGCACTTCAAAGAATATCACTGAATCGGGATGTAATTCACAATGAGAAATGATCCAAGGGTAATTCGTTCTCTTCCTCATTTCAGTTCTCCCCTTCCTCCTCTCGCCCCTTCTTTCACCGTGACTCAGTACCAACTTATTATTGAAACAAATAGCCTCAGGATATTTTTTCGAAAAATTCTTTGAATACATTTTTTGACGCCCAGAGTCGGAAAAATGCCTTATAATCGTCTAGAAAGTGTAAAACTCAAAAAGCACTGATAATACTCAACATCATTAAAGGTGTCTCGAAACTTCAAAGTCCTATTAAAGTGCATTTGCTGAAAAAAAAAAACGTCGGGCTGGTAATCCCATCAGGGGATGAAGAAAGCGTCAGAATTACCAACGTGCTAACCATCAGATGAAGTAACTGATAAAAGCAACTCGAACGTTGCTAGATGCACAAGTGACTCAGAACAAAGTTATTAAGACTAAAGTCTAAGTCACCAGTTTGCAAACTTACTCAACCACTGTACCTCGTACAAAAATGACTCGCAAAAAGTTTCCCTAGGCATAAGCAAGCGAACAAACTTTTCATCTTTTTCGTCTGCAAGCAGTTCCTCCTCGCCAGCTTTTCCAAATACCTGCTCTTGCTCTTCGCCCATATCCTGAAACAATTAGTTGTTTCAGAAAAAGAAATTTTCCGCTGCTTTTACGGAAAAACTCTGAAAATTTCGGGCTTTTTACAGATGTATACTTTTTTGCGCTCGATGTGTAGGAGCATTTCAATAACATCACTAAAATGGAGAACCCATATTGGCAGGTTGGGCGGTCTCGCCATTTCTGGTATTTTTTTTCGAAGATTTGTGTCGTTTTGAGCAACTTAATATATTTTATTCCAGAACTTTTGCAGAAAGTGAATTGGAGGAGCATCACACTTACAGTAAGTTCTTTGATAAGTGTATCCTGGCCAACATCTTCATCTTCCAGCCAAAGTTTGTTGAATGCCGGCAAAAAGAAATTGATTGCTCGATGCCTGAAAATCTCCTGTTGAAAATAAATTTTTGAGAGATGATAAACTTGTGTGGAACAAGGACACGAAAAAAAAAATACCACTATAATGGTATAACCGCAGAAAGAGGGGTTTTCTTAGGAAAGGCATTCAACCAATTTAATAATCCCATTTTGATAAGATATCGATTAAACTTTTCTAGAATTTCGCGACCTCGTCAATTCTAGTACAGACGCTGTGGTTTGAAGCTTCTATTCGCTACAATCGTGATCTGGCTAAAGCATTCAAGGCCCAATCTTCACCGATTTCTGGATATTTCGAAAGTAAAAACTGTCGGCAGCAGACTTTGCATTGATGCATTATACTACTACATTTTTGAATTTTTTTTTGAAATCGTTCTTTTTTTTAAATTTTGCATCTAATTTTTGAAAAATTTTTCTTGGAAAAAATTATCTTTAAAATAAAATACCGAGGTTTGGTTTTAAGTCTTAAAATAAGGAAAACGAATAAGGGAAAACACCAGTCAGCTTTAGTAATTCTGATGCTATATTAAGGATCGGTAACAAATGTACTCCATATTAGCATCTAATTTTCTCC